AGCATTTCACCCCAAGCAAGGCAGGAAGCCACTAGGACGCAAGGGGTTACAGAAAATTTAGAGCAAGATCAGATAGGAGTGATAGAAGAAAGGATGAGGAGAAGAGTAGTGGATAGGTCAAGGCAACTGGAGATGTCGATTGACATTATACTTGAATAGCTGGAGATTATAGCTCACAGGGAAACAGGAATAGGGAAGGGAGTTCCACAGGCGAGAGGTGCGAGACATGAAGCTATTGGAGTAGAAAAGACGGCTACATTTAGAAGTTTCGACAGTGAAGGAGTGAGAGCAGGATGCCAGCCTCGTATGGCGCTTGAACTCATGACGTCTGGGAACCAGCGAATGCAGCTCCTCGGAGCAATTTCCATGAAAGTATTTGTAGAACAGGCAGAGGGAGGCGACGGCACGTCTGTGAGAAAGTGACTGTAGACAAGACACCAGAGCAGGGCCAAAATTAAGTGATGTAATGGAATGTCCCACACTCCTTATTGCCTATGTGGACTGACTATATCAGTAGATATATATAGTGAGCGTTGGAGACTTGCTTTGGGAATTATTAGCCTGCTAACCGATTCCCTGTCCTTCAGCAGTGTATTCTCTTTTACATTAAACCTCCGTTTCTTTCATCTACACACATATTGCTGTTCCTTTCACTCGAGTACCACCTTTGTCTGTTTGTAACCTCTTTAAGGATACAACAAAAAGATACTTGTTCTAATATTATTGGAAAATGGCCGCTGCTTTGTAAATTTGCCAGTTGTATTCCAGTGCCAGGGATGAGTCACATAACATGACTATTTATTATTGAGAATGTACCTGTTGTTGGATGAAGGTATGTATGGGATCTCTTGTTATACAAGTATAGATTGTTTGCATCAATTAATTTTTCAATGATCTTTCCTCTTTGGTTTGTTTTTTGGTTTCCCCTCATTGGTGGCTATGGCTATTCAAGTCTCCCATCAAGATGAAGAGTCTTGGGAGCTATTGTATTAGATCGTTTAGTTCTATTTCTGATATTTTCTCCTTTGGAGGAATGTATAGGGAGTATATGGTAATCATTCTATGCAGTGGGGTTTGTTATTGTCATTGCTTGTAAATTGGTTTGAAGTTAGATTTGTTTATGGGGTATATTGTTATTTACAAGTACTGATCTACCACTTGAAGCTCTGTTATTTTAGCTGAAATACATGTTGCAGATGAAGTAATTCTTAATATTCATTTGGTTGTATACTTTAAGGAAAGTTTCTTGTAAACATATTATACCTGGATCTAAATTCATAATTAGTATAAGTTCATTGAAATTTGCTTTCATATCTCTAATGTTCCATTGTAATATATTTTTAGGTTGTCATCCTAGATTTATTGATTTTAGTAGGTTTACGCATTTTTTTTGTTTTGTTTCTGGGATGTTATGATTCTGGGTTCTTTGATAAGGGTAGTTCTTCATTAGTTGGGTAGTTTTCTTCTATTTCCATTTTGTTGAGGTTTTCATATCATTTTTTTGAATCTATAGTATCATAGATTCGTTGGTTTGATGGTAGATTGTTGACTTGATCTACTTTGAGCTCTTTCATATAGTGATTCCAGTTTCATAGATGTGTTTTTTATTGGGTTTTTTATCTTCAAAAGTCCTTTTGTGGAATGCAATGTTGATGTTTGGGTTATAGATTCATTAGGTATCTGCTTGAGGGTTTTTATGTTTCTGGGTGATTTCTGTGGTGATCTCTAATCAGTGAGTTGTTAAAGTTGGGTTGTTTTTGGTATTTCCAGTGTTGAGTTCTAATTTTGGTTTGATTTCTTCTGGTCAGCCTCCTGGTCCCACTTGTAGTTATTTCTGAATGACATCCTTTTATTTCTCTTCCTGCTTTTGTCTGTCATTTCTGGCTGTTTTTATGATTTCAGTGAAGGTTTCTTTTTTCTTTTCTTGTGGTATTTATAATTTTTCTCACTTCTGAGAATGAAGTGTTTTTGCGTATTTTAGAGGTAATATTTCTTTTTTTTTATTTTTTACAAACTCTTGCATACACTAAATGATTTCTACCACCATTTGCACATTTACAGATTTTCTGGCATTGGTCTGTGGTATGGTTAGGATCTTTCTCTCTACATCTCCCACATGCCATCTGGCCATTACATTTTTCTTCATCATGACCATATCTTTGACATATATAGCAGCAGAAAGGATTTGCTATGAACTGTTCCACCTTTTCTATATTATAACCAATTTTTATTTTTCTGGTATTTTGGGTGTATTGAAGATCATAACAGAGGTATTTGTTTTGGTCATTTTTTTTTTTTTTTTTTTTAATGGATATTCTTTTTATACATTGGTTACTCCTGGATTTTTTAATTCCTTTATTTCTTCCAAGGTGCAAAAGAAAAGCTCCCAGCTTCTAACTACATAGTGCAATAGGTAAATTGTCATCATTTTATGTGTGTTGTTTTTGATTTTGTTGACAGCAGTATCATAGGGTCAGTTGGGCACCGTCTGAGAAAAAGAGCACAACACAATTCACTTTGCTAGAAATTTGGAAATGATTTTATTGTATAAATTTACTTTTGAGTATTTCAAGATATTTTTGTGTAATTTTGGTAAATATATCTGCTAAAATGTTATTTTCATTTTTGCATAATTTAGACGACAATTTATCCATCGCACCCTGTACTCCCTTGGATATATTTAGAGAGTCTGATGTGGTTAACTTATTTGTTTTTGGTGTGGAAACTTTCGTTTTTAATAAAAAAAAAATCAGAGTATTTCTTTTTGTCTACTTGAATAAGAATATTACCATTTCTTGCGTTTTGAGATTATTTTTTTTCTATTATAAAAAAGGGATAATGCCGTTAGTGGTATTTCCTCCTTTGCTTCTAGAATTATCTATCTTTGGAATTCCTTATTATGATGCTCTACTTCACTTTCTGAACTTGAGTCACCATAGGCACATTTGGTTGGTTTATTATAAGCTATGAAGGAATCTTGATTTTTTTTTTTTTTCATAATTCCTGCTCCCTACCCACCACAGAGTTCACTTTAACCTGTTGTCAGTGGGAATTGCCAGGGTGGAAACCCATTCACCCTGAGAAGACAGAGATACAGGGGTACTATACTCAAATTTGGTAGTAGCCACAAGCACCTGTGTTCCTTTGATTTCGTCATTCAAGTATAGGGTAATGTTATGGATTACACAATCATATTGCAACCATGGTCTTCCAATTCATTTTCTGCCTCTAACAACTATAAGCAATACTGCTTATTAGATTAATATATTTTTCAGTGTACATATCTGTTTAAACAGTTTCTTTTAATAACATACATTTAGATAAATTTCCAACTTCTTTTTCCAAATTTGATCTGGAAGAAAAATACAAGATCATGATTTGAAGAATAGAAAACTATGTGTGTGTGTGTGTGTGTAAAAATTTAGATAGAATGCATCTATAAAAACAATATAAGTAAAAGACAAAAGAAAAACTTTTCTTTACAAACACATTTTGTCTCCTGAGCTACTTTTGTCAAAGTAAATGTAAAGATTTTATTTTGCAACTTCTATTTATATGTAGAATTTAAGTTTTCACATTTTAAATTTAAGAATGCTCTAAAATATTCTTAAAGCCAACTAGTTTATCCTTCCTTACACAATTGACTTTAAGAATACTTTAGAATGTTCTCAAATCCAAAATTTGAAAACTTAGCAATAGTTTTCCTTCATTTCTGTTTCAAGTTGCAAAATAAAATCTCTACATTTACCTTGATAAATTCCTAAGTGGACAAAACACACTGATAACAAAAAGTTTTCCATTTATCTTTTACTTATATATTGTTGGAAATAATGAAGAATAGACTTATGTGAGTGGAGTGGCGATGTTAACCAGAGAGTTCTAAGGTGCAGACACCTCATTCTCCTCCGTTTTAGTAGCCTTCCATTTGAATTGGCAGAAGAGGTGAGGGCAGTGGTATATTATAAAAATCTCTTCACTTCATACTCACTACATTTTGGACGACAGTGAAACAAGTTGCAATTATTGATCCTGTCTTTTATTACTGTGGTTAACTGATTCTAATAGAAAGGGTTGCAAACAAAGGACATTTTCTTTTGCAACCCAGTCATTCACAAACTATCTCCACACTGCTCTTTACAGTTGAATTCATTTTCAACAGTATACATATTACTCCTGTATAAGGCAACTTCATGTATAGCACAACCACTTAATATTTTTGCATGAATTTTAATCTCTCCAGAAAAAATTTACCTGTGCATACTGCAAATGGTCACCAAAAATGCATGATTTTGAAACCTCTTCAAAAAAAATTACTAGTGTATAGTGTGCAACCACCTACTTTTTGCATAAAAAAAAAAAACACACACTATACTCAAGTATACATAAGATATTGGACATTTAGTGCTGGTGTTAATAAAATAGTGCTCGATGTAATATAACAGAGCTATTAAGGATATATTAATAAATATATTATCCCTAACTGGCAACACAACTCGGAGTTTCATGCCCAATGTAATTTTTAGGTGCAGGGTACAGACTGACTATTACATAATTTAAATTTTAATAAAAAGTATCTGGTTAACACAATGCTGGCTATATATTATGTGGGGATTACAGGTTTTTATGTTTTTGTTAAAAAAAATATATTGCTTTTAAAATAGATGGGATTTATATTTAAAATAAACAGGGATAATATTTTCTTAAAAGCAATATATTAAAATAAACGGACCTAAAATTATGTAAGAAAAATAAATTAAATATTAATTTTTATTTAAAGTCAGGACCTATATTAAAAATAAAGGGGCTTACTGGTTTTTAAAAAAAATTATATAAAAATAAATGAACCTAAAACCATTAAAAAAAAAAATAGAAGAAATAGACCAATAAACCAAACAGTTTTAAGAACAATTGTTATTTTCAATCTTTTCCTTTTCTCAAACCAAAAATGTTTCAAAGACAATTACTATTCTTCAAGTGTAGTTAATGCTTTCTGGACTCACGTTTTTGCCAACATCTTCCCTGGACACCAAGAATTGGGAACATCGGTCTTCATCTGTGACCTGGAAAAAACAAAAATATATCATCCTTTTAAAATTTTGCTTGTCCCTCCCTTAATTACTTAGCACAACTATTACACCCTGGCAATCCCTCATAAATAATGGACTGTTTTGAACACACAGAAAAACAGAAAAGACATATCAGAGATGCTGCTTGTTTCAATGAAAAAAAAGAAAGATAGAAGAGGTTTTAACACTCATACATTTAACATCTGTTTCAGTAAGTGAAGCCAAAATTCCAGGTCAAAACCGATATCATCAAAGATTTTTGTTGCTGAGTCTCTTCTTCATCTATAAGAAAATTTTCCAATATTCATTGTTACATAGCAATTCAGCACTCATTTGTTTCTAACATTTTCCAATGCCTTAATATTTTGCTTAGTTCTTAGAAGGCATTTTTCAATATTCGAATTAACCTTTTGAATAAGCCTTTAGATAAACTTAGCATTTTCAACAAACACTGTGCACTTCCAATGCATGTATGCAAATCTCTATTTCATAATTACAGCAGGATTCCTTAAATTTTGAGCTCCATATTTTCATTATCTAAATGACAGATATCGTTATTTTAATTTTAAATATCACAAATTTCCAAGCAATATCCAATGATTTTACTAGATTTACACATTGCATGAAAGAAAACGTCTCAAGCCTTCATTTTTACATGTTCAGAAAGGTTTCCTGTTTTACGATTTTTTTTTTTTTTTTTTTTTTTTTTGTTTTAATCGATATCACCCTACGCAAAGCAGTAAAGCCACTAAGACACAAGAAAGTCACAGGATGTGGAAGAATTAGGAACAGAAACAATAATGAACAGGAAGAGGAAAGCATAATCAGGAGGATAGAGGATAGCAATTGACATTGCATTTAAATTTTTTGAGATTAAAGTTGACTGGAAAGCATCAAGCCAGAAGTGAGTTCCACAAGCAAGAAGCGCAAGAAAAGAAACTCCTAGCATAGAATTTACAGCTACATCTAGCCAGCTCAACTGTAAATTGATGAGATCTCAACGATAGTCTAGTACTGCACTTAAATTTAAAAAAATCTAGCTAACCTAGCAAAGAGCTCATAATAGTAGTTTGTTTGGATAAATGATAGAATTATTTATCCAAACAAACTACTATCTCTCATTCCATTGTAGTGAATAAAAAAAAATTTCATTCTTTTGGCATATTATACATTTATATGGATGTGTGGCTGGTGTAACAGTTAACAACTCTGAAAGAGGAATTGGCAAAGCCAAGTTTAAATTCCAGCTGAGTTTGTTATATTCACTTTGACATAAATACCCTTGAGAAACATATGAATCCATCTCTTCTCTCCCTCAGCTATGGGTTAAATAGCAGTGTTAACTGGGATTTTTTAATCTAGAAGAAAAAAACCAGCCTTAATTGGGATAGACTCCTTCAAGCTATCTTGCCAGAGACACACTATTGTTGTTACAGTTGCAGTACATATGATGCCCCTAGAACTTTAATGGGTTATGGGATTCCTGTCATTAAAACTTGATATTGAAAAAATTCACTCTTGTGATTTTATAGGGTATGTATCTCATGTTCAGGATTATGAGTGAATGAAAGCAACACACGTTTCTACTGGATTGTATTTGCATCTTCCTCAAAAAGAAGATGCAAATACAAACCAGCAGAAAAAAGAGTCAGCATTTAACAGCCTTTTGATCACCTGCAGTTTTTAAAACACACTGGTCGGTTGCTATAGAAGAAAACCTCATCCCTTATTTGGACATGCATTCTCTTTCTATAAAGTTAGAACACAAGAACAGAAGTCTGGATTCAATTTCTCTACAACCTGTGCCACTAACATGAAAGATCATTGTCCTTAAATAAACAGGTCTATCTGTATTTTCAGGATGAGGAGTTATCATTATTTACACTATTTACATTCGAACTATTGTCCTCATCTTTGTTGTTGTTATCACAATGTTTCAGCCATTGTGCCATCCGGCCTTCATCAGATGTATATCAATCTAGGTAGCCTACAGGAATTTCTGTAATCTTTATTTAATATACAGGGGTAAACTTCACGTACCACTGTTCATGTGTAGGAATATCATGTCTAGTTCTTAATTTTAGTAATGTTCAGTTATTTGCTCGGAAGTTTCCACTGAGTCAAGGTACAAGCTGCCCGGCCAACTGTGAATTCAATCTGATGTGATATGAAGACAGCCTGTTATGAACCGAGCAGCCTGGGAAACTAATGCAGCAAAATACAAAATCTGGAAGCTTGCTGACAATGCTAAAATGGGTGAAGAGTGAAGACAAGAGGGAAGAGAGTAGAGAGCAACTCGGATAAGATAGTACCGGCACCCATAGAGCCAGTGGCAGATTTCACATGCAGCAATTGCAACAGAGCTTGCCATTCCAAGATCAAACTGTACAGCCACAACTCACAGGTTAGATCAACACATGGTGCACGTAGCATTGTCTTACAAGACAGAAAGGTATCAAAAAAAAAAAAAAAAAGAAATACAAACACAAACAAAAAGTAATAGTCTTGAAAAATCAGTTTTGGTCACTACTGCAAAGATCATTCGTTCTTACCTTGGTGTGATCAAGCAAGACAAGTGAGTTGATACCTGCAAGGACAATGTTTTTAGCTACCTCTGCCCCAAGTCCACGCAGACCCACCAACAGAACCTTGGCTGCCCGTAACCTGTAACAGGAAAATATAAAAAATATTTAAACACAATCTTCAGTCAGACAATTATTGCATTTTGTGGGTTCAGACTGCTTTTTTTTTCCAATTTTTTAACACAATTTCATATATATGCCCCCCCCACTTGATTCATATCATCAGTTTTTTTTGTCAAATCTGAATTAAAAGGAATTTATACATTTTTTTGTTCTTGAGAATTTACAATAAAAATTTTAAAAGTTTACTTTTTATTGTTAAATCAAGATTAAATTCCCTTTTCATTTGCATGAATTTATTTTTAGTGGGCAACTCTGCATGACAGAGAACACCCCCACCCTCAGAGCTTAAAGATTGTGATCTGACCATATCAGGCTGTCAGATTAAATTCCAGAAAAGTCAATTTTTAAGTTTGGCTTTTAAGAATAATTGGGGTCTTTTATATTCATTTACTGCTATTGTCTACAAAGTTTGAACTCCAAACAGCTTTGCTTTTGGGATCACTGAGACAACTAAGCCTTCTACCATGACAAAGAATGACCGTATATAGTTTACACTGGATGTATTTACAAAAGAAAAAGAATTTTAAATTTTTACATTTTATTTGACTAAATATTTATCATTTACCAATCTATAAAAAAAATAAATATTGTTATATATGGTTAAAATGTCGCTGCTGACACTTCAGTTTGAACCTAGATCACCAGTGAGCAAACACAAGCAATCCCATTATTGAATTAAGTAGACCACATGACCATAGAGAAAATGCATAAGTAGGATTTAGCTTTGCATCTAATTGATCGTATTTCTACTCTATCACTATACAGACCGCTATTCTCTTTCTCTATATGGATTACTGTTCGAGCAAGTACTATTAGTGTGAGTGTTATTCAAAGGCGTCTGACACCAGTATTGCTCAACGGTGTACTATAGGTGTATCTGTGATTATAAAGTTTCTACTACAACGATCATTATGAAAGTGGCAATGAGTGTTCGTTAGCATCACAAAAAATATGAAAACAATTTTATTCATAAATTTATAAACATTTACTAAATTATTCTAATGTGAACCAACTTATTATTGACTATTTTATAAAGTTCAAATCAATTGGTAATTAGCCAATGTTTTGTCAACTATTCCAATAAACAATATTTATTATTTATAATGTTTATTACTTTTATTGTAAATTTTCAAGAATAAAAAAAAAATGTATAAATCCACATTTATATGTTTAGGTTTTATTAAAATTTTAATCGTTTTTTTTTAAAACAATAAACATTGCCAAGATGTGAAAAGAGTTAAAATAATAGTGGTGTCATGGGAAAATCCGACTTTTGACAAAGCAATTTTTTTGCAGGCACAAAGGTTAAAGATTGCCAAATCTTGTTTCCAGTTAAATTTGCATACACCTGTGTGTTCTTGAGATTGTCGCCATCTTGTTACTGTTTACGGAATAAAATTAAAATTGATAAACATACCTTGCATTGCTTGCACATACAAAATAAAAGACTAAATATTTTATTTATTTTTAATTGTGGCAGCAAACACACCTTGAAATTTCCTTATTAAATGTCGTATTTACCAATTATTAAAATCTAATTGTTGAAGAACAACATTAAGGATATATTTACAGGAAGTAAACATAAATATTGAGGTTTAAAGATAAGGCATTAAGTCTGTAAAAGTTAGGGATTGATTTGAGACTGTATCAATGTGTCATAAACATAGGAACCTCCAAAATTCAATAACAAATGAACATGCGTGATGAAACAATGCCCAAAACTTAACAAAAATAATTTTTAATCAAAATGTTTGTTATTATTAAGAAGAAAGACCAAAATATTTTATTATTAAATTATATGCTTTTAATCCTTTTTAGACTCTTTGAGATTTTGGTTAAAATTTTTGTTTTTTTCAATGGGTGACCATAAATTAGTATGAGAAATGAGTCTCCTTTTGTGTTGAAAAACACACTGATTTGGAAATTCTTGCAAAAAATCAGATAATTGTTGGATTTTAATGAAACTTTCAGAACTTATTCACATATGAACTAAATTATTTTAGAAACGTTCCTCTTTTTAAAAAATCTTGACAAAAATTTTTTTTTTCCACATCTGTTACCCACAACATCAACTTATTTAATTTTATGAAATTTCAAGAAATTCTTTTTTTGTAATGCTTATATTAGTTATAAGAACAAGTCTTTGGAAAATTGAAATCAACATCATTTTTTTTTTGTCAAACAGGACCACCTGTTACCAAAAATCTCTTTTGTAATTGTAAAATAAAAAAATGCAATAAAGCTAAGATATTATTAAATTAGAAAAGTTTTTAATTGCTTTTATGAATAAAATATATTATGGACACTATTGTCTTAAAAATATTTTTATGGTGAATAATGAATTTTTACAAGAATTGTTTTAATTTTTTTTTAATTTTAATTAAAGATTTAATTCTTTTAAAACTTTTGTGTTAATTTGTAGGAGTTAGGTTATATGGTTATTAAGCAAAAGCTATATTTACTAATGATAAATGGAAAAAGACCACTCCCAGAATTTTAAATTTCTTTATATGCAAATATAAACATGCCGATTTTTGTAAATATGGATGTCCTTACACAACATTATCAGGAAATAAGAGACATAACAATAGTAAATTTTAAATTTACTGGGGAGTTTCTAACATTTCCTCAACAAACATCTTTGTAAGACTATAAAACCAAAATACCTAAAATTCAATTAAATAATAGATTACTTGGAATATTTTCCTAAATTTTTAAGATTACTGGGTAGCTAAAGAATTATATAAAAACAGTGTTCATATTGTATTCAAGTAATTTTTAGTTATGTGCCCTTTACTTAAAAATGCTAAATATTAAGCTATCAATAAATCTGCCAACACCTTATAAAAACAAATTCAGGTAAATTTGGTAATTTTTACAAGGTAAGAAAATTTGGATAATTATGAAATAAAAGTCAATTGAAAATTGAAAAATGCTACCTCCCCACCCATATATTTTAAATAAAATATGGGATCATGGAATCCAGATAAAACCCCACTACAACAATACTAGGGCCATACTTTTTGAAGGGAGCCATCATACCATGATGAAAAAATGCCCCAATCTTGATAAAAACAATGTTTTGTTGTCAAAATCTTTATGCTCTTAATAGGAAAGACCAAATGATTTTTTGATTATTAAATTATTTTTTTTTTTTCATCCTTTTTAAGACTTCAAAATTTTGGTTAAATTTCTTTTGATTTTCTGTGTCAGCACAGAGGCCAAAGATAAGTATAGGAAATTTTAGCATATTTTTTTTTTTTTTTTGCAGTGAAAAAACACATTGATTTAGAAATTCTTTCAGAAATCAAATAATAATTGTTGGATTTTAATGAAGTGTTCAGGACTTATTCACAAATGATTTTTTTTACATTTGTTACCCCCACCACCACCACCACCACTTACTTTTCAGAAAATCTTAGTAAAAATATTTTTTTGTTACATCTGTTACCCCCTCTCAACTTATTTAATTTTATAAAATTTTGAGAAAATTAAATTTTGTAGAGATTAATGCTTGTATTAGTTAAAAGCAGAACTAATTGGAGAAATCATCAATTATCAAGTTTATTTGTAAACCAGGACTCCCAGTTAGTGAAAATCTGCTCTGAATCATAAAATAAAAATGCCATAAAAGTAAAACTAAGACATTATTGAATTAGAAAAACTTTTAATGGCTTTTACGAATAAGATATATTATGGACACTATTGTTTTGTGAAAAAAATGTTTTTGATGAATATAAATTTTTATAAAACAGTTTATTTTTTGCAAATTTTAATTATAATAATTTATAAAGTTTTAAATTTTTTTAAATTGTCTTACTTTAGATGATATTGTCATTAAATATAAACTATTTACTAATGATGAATATACAATTCATCCAACACCAATATTTTAAAAAGAATTCTGAATTTTTATGTGTGTATAAACGTGTCGATGTTTGTAAATACGGACGTTCATACACGGCATTAAAACAAGAGCGATAACTATAGTAAATTTAAACAGAAAGTATCTAAAATTTAATTAATAGAACATTACATTTACTGAATATTTTGCAAATTTTTTTAAATTACTGAATAGTTAAAAAATTATGTAAAAAAGGCGCTCATGTCATATTTCTCAAATAAATTTTACTGATATGTCCACCATAAAAAAGTATATGAAATAAACTTCCGTCTGTCATTCAAGCTGTCAATGCCTAAAATAAACACTAAAACAGCTACCACCGCCGTATTAAAAAAAACGCATTTCTGCGATATTTTAAACTTCAAGTTTGTTTCAGATTAATTGAACTTTAAATCAATTAATATTCATTAAATAAAGTCTCAGAAACGTATATTTTACTTTTGGAAGATTTTTTAATAAAGCGTATTACATCAAAAATGGCGCTAAAAATCAGCGATGTTATTGATTTCAAAACGAAAACTCCTTGCAGTCAATTTTTAAATTGTTTTGATTTTGAAATACAGCAAAGTATTTTGTTTATTGGAAATATCAAAATTATTTTATTAGCTTGAATTTAAAACTAAAGTAAAAGCTTAAAGAAAGATTTTTTCATTTTTAAAAATTAATTTTAAGAACATCAGGTACCACGATTTTTGTAAGTACCTAAATTTTTAATAAAATTATTATACAACTTTTTTCTGGCCTATACAGGATTTGGAAAAACACTGTTGTAAATTTTTCAAGAAGTTAATATTAGCTAACAATTTTATTCGTCATAAATTATTAAAATGAGGATAAACTGAAATATAAACAATAAGTTCTATTTGTCACGCACGAGCCTCCGTAGATCGAAAATTGGGTCACGTTAGCCGCTTTTACTTCATTCGTGAAAAAACACCGGTATAGAAATAATAATCATAATTGGTAAACTGATCGTAAACAGAAAAAATAATTGTTATATTCAGACAAGAAATTTTGAGACGAGAGAAAAAATTGGTTTAAATGCAGTACATTTATTTTTTTTTTTTTTTTTTAATGAATGGTAAATTATTCGGTTACGTTCAACTTTTCCTGACATGCGAACACTACGTTATTCCTGAGGTATTTTTTTTTATCTAGAAAAGTAATTTTTTTATAACACAGTGGATAAAATAGGAACCGTTCAAAAATACAAATGTAAGATTTTACAAAATAATATTTTATCTTTGATAGAATATCTACCGAAAGAGCAATTAATGTTTTTCCTCACATTTTTTCTTTGTCTTGTACAGCAAATAATCAGCGTAAAACGAAAAAAATATGAATGGTTCGAATAAAGAGACAGAAATTCTACATAATTTATCGAAAGTAAAAATATGATATTCACGCAATCGTACGCTGTAAAAGAAAAGTTCTTTCTTTTTTTACATATATAAATAAATAATACATAATTTTTCTGTGATGTGATAACGAGACCCCATCGTCATATAAGCCATGTGGACAAGGAAGAACGAAATTGGAAACTAATTTAGTGAAATGTATTTCTTGAGTCTCCATCTCTAAGTGATTTAATTAGTTTTCATAGTTAACATTTACTTATTCGAAATCGATACCCACCGCTTTTGAGCATCAAGACCCCATAATCTTATTTGCCGGTCATATAAAGCAGCTTCATCCTCGGTAATGTTGTGTTGTTCCACCATTTTTTTTTCAATTCAGCTAGGAACCTTTTCATTGGCTAAAAATCTGACCAATCGCTGATAAGGTTTCTGTATTCAATTTAACACGAGTCATTCATTGATTACAACTTGTTTTTTAACTTCTTAAAAGTTTAGTAAACAGACGAACCCGGGTATTAATCACAAGTGTAATAACACATGCGATCATTAGCTTATTTTGCAAATGAAATTTGTTATTCTTTTCCTTTGAAAGACCCCAATAATTAAATTTAAATCAATGTCCCTTCAGGTATAAAAAATTAAAGTAATAAAAAATTATAAAAAGGTAAACAAAAAATTAAAAATATAAGATAGATGAGGTTTGTTTATTATTACTCTTTATTTTGTGGGGAGTATTTTAAAAATACATTTTAAAAAGTTACTAAACTCGTATTGTTTAAATAGAGAAACTGCTATAACAATCCAGGCACTTAATAAAACAGCTTGAATAATTTGAACTGCTAAAAATATGAAGCCTGGTTTATGAAAAATACGTGTAACTAAAATTTGGTTTTAAAATTTGTAAAAAAAAAAAAAAAAAAAAAAGAGGCTCAAGTTTTATGGTTTGAAAACCTGCCAAAATAAAATTTATGAGCAGGCGTGGTTTAAACATTTTACACCATAAATTGTCCAAATATGTCTGATGGCCATTGGCCAATTATGTTGCCGTTGCGTATTTCATGCAGATCACAGTCTGGCTACTCAAGCAAAGAGGAAATTGACAGATCTTTCAAATTCTGTAGATTTTTCTGGATGGATCAAGGCTATTTTACTTTTTTCCTGCTTGCAATCATTTTCCTTGATACTTCTAACAATTTCTTCTTTGACTTCTTGGTACAGCATCTTCTCCAGCCTTCTTCTGTCTGCTGTACATTTAGTACCAACTTTAAGTAATGCTTGAACTGCTCAGCATCCAGATCATTGATGAATTTCCTTACTTGATTCCGCTTGGCCTTGACATCACTTATGCTGGATGCATAAGCTTCTTTCTTTTACAAAATTCACCAATGATGCTTCCAGCTAGCATAGTATGATGTCTCACCGACTGATGTTAACACTGGGAAGAAGCCTCTTTCGTGGTGAACGACTTTTCATACAATAAAAATTTTATTTTGTAAAAAAAAAAAAAAAAAAATGTTAAATTTTGTGCATTTTTTATGGCCTTTTAGGCTCAAGCAGCGAAACGCCAAGATCTTGTGAATCTACATTTTTGAATACACGGAAGGGAATTTTACATATATTGGCCAATGGGAATCAAGTTTTTCTAGCACCTAAAAATTTTGTGAAAACTGCCCTGGCCAGGTTTTATCACATAAAAGGACGGTTCAGTGAAATGTTATAAATCTGATGTGACTGATCCAAGGCCGATTCGTACGGCAAATTTTACACCCCAGAATCTACAAGAATTTGCCTACGTCAACAAATCCCCTTCGAGCTGAGAGGTCCTTTACAAATCCGTTAGAACAAAGGTTGGTGTCATTTAAAAGATTGTGCCTTGTGCCATATTGTGAATCCTCCTACTCCGAGTTTTCCTTTATTTTTGAATGGATATATTTTTGTATACGAATCCGTTTGTCTTATCAACATTTTATATTTTGAATTGTATTTTTCCTGTTTTTGAGTGGAAACATTTTATTACCTCCTGAAAGTATTATCCCGCCGAAAGAGGCACACGAAAGGAAAATTTTGTGCAACCCTTGTTTTGTACTTTTCTTATTTGTAATTGTAAATAAATGTGTTGTATCTTTTAAAATTTTGCCCAGTGGTCGTCATGTTTTTTTTAAGTTGTGCCTATTTTTCGAGAATTGCTGCTTCTACCAACTAAGTTTTGTTTCTGGCACAAGAACTTGGAGTTGGTAGGAAAGCAAAATCTTTACATCTTGCGCACAAAACATGTTTTATGTTACTGTAGTGTAGCAATATCTTTATAATACTGAGTGTTTAAAACTTCCACAGTCCTTTTTAAACATTTCTTTTTTAAATAAACGTTCATTTGCTGGTGGAATCAGTAAGTAATCTCTATCTTTTATTGGTAATGGACTTCCCAAAAAAGTCCTTGTTAGAGAACAATATGGCCACACAGAATTGGTTGTCCACTTTTTATGCAGCTGTAATGTTTCATTCAAAGGCGTACCGAAGCAAAGTGCCACCCAGTTTGCAGATGAGACATGGAGTCAAAACGTGCTTCCAGTTAGTATCTGTCTATATTTCTGAGATGAGGTATTATGTACACTATTTACATTATTCGGACCCGTATTCATAATGGCGCCCCCATTTTTGGAGGAAAATGAAATATCTTTAATGATGTTAATTAATACTTGAAAAACAATAAATTCAAAAATTAGCTGAACAAACGTTTTAACCTTTTCGAGCTTTTGCAGAAGCAAAGTTACTAATAACTTGGTCAAAATCTATTTCTCGTTTCATGTTCAGTTGAAATGAGGGACAAACTGGATAAGCAATCTTGCGACATACTCGATCTCAAGTAACTTTTAATGAGCTTCTGTTTTGAGAGGCTTCTCTGCAGTAGCAACAGAAACTGTGAGCGTCAAAAAAAGCCATAGAGCAATTACAATGTTTGACACTGTTTATTGAACTTTCTATCGATAAATCCATCTCAGCCATTCGACAGCCGATGATTTGGTCATCATGGTCATGTCACGTTCCACTTTGGAAGTCGCCGCTAAAAAGTCCCGAAGTCGGAAAACTTTCAAAAGCAGCCTAGATACGTCTAAGTCAACACCATATTCGCTACCGAGAATTTTAATTTTTCGCTCCAACTCACCTTCAGTATCTTCCAGGATTGCTTGCGATGAGAATCCAGCGAAGACAGTTTGCAGATGAGACATGGAGTCAAATCGTGCTTCCAGTTAGTATTTGTCTATATTTCTGAGATGAGGTATTATGTACACTATTTACATTATTCGGAGCTGTCCTCATCTTTGTCGCCATATTTATTACAACGTTTCGGAGTGAAATAAAGGGTTCAGTTCGACATTCTAACCACCTGAAGAAGACCGCAGTGTACAACGGCCGAAACGTTGTAATAAATATGGCGACAAAGATGAGGACAATAGTCCGAATAATGTAAATAGTGTGCTTCCGGTTAATTTACAAGTCGATCATGACATTCGGAAAGATTTCTCTTTACTTCCTGTACAAGTGTTTGACAAACATCATCTTCCTTTTCTCCGGGTAGCTTTCTCTTTCTTCTAATCCACTTTTCCATTTCCTCTCATTTTGATTTACTTTGACTAACCGATTCAGACACTAGCCTGTCCCTGTTTTGGTTAAAGAAATTTTTGGTCGCAATCATGTGTGCTGCACACATATCCAAACCAATACCAGGTTCTTGAATTTTCTTTGGGATAACATTTATTTGTCCCAGAATTTCTTCACAGTAAAACAAATGTGACATGAAGGAGAAGTTTTCAATTAAAAGCACAATGATTTGTGCATCCCCTCTCGTTTGAAGATTTTCTGAAGTTGAGGTTAATGAATCGAGTGCCTGAATCACTCCTTGATAACAAGTTTTCACTGCACGAATAGCTTCGTAATGTGCACTCCAACAAATAGTTACCAAACGCTTCATCATGACCTTCACGTGTGAAGATAAAACTTCCCACCGGTGACTGGAAGAGGAGAAAAATGTATTTTCCAAAAAAGCAAATCAAAAGAGCGTATGAGGCTGGGTCCTGCTGCTACTATAAAGAGAGCATTCCTTAAAAAATAAGCTGAAAATTTTGGGATTGCGTATCTTGAAGATAACCAAATAAATAAATTGTTGTTTTTTTTTATGAATAAATAGTTTAGACTTCTCATAACGTCATAGCATTTATGTCGAAAAAATAACGAGGGGTCGTTATTGTGCAAGGACGGGCAAAATAGCCCCTTCCTAATTTTTAAATTTAAATGAAGGCTGTTTTATTCTACAAAGTTTCAATTATTAAAATAAAATAAAAAATTAAACTTACGTTTTTTAAGTTAACATGTTTTTTACCAAGGATAACTGGTTAGTCCAATGCTGTGTGTAGGTGTTCTGAGTGTATATGGTGGTCTGTTCCAGGAGTGGCACCAGAGAATCATAAAATATATAATGGGTAAGCATCATTGGGGCAATAAAACCCAAATATTTCTTCAAAGCCATGTGCATTATCATTTAGTATCTAAATCAACTATAATCCTTATTTTGTTTTTTAGTGTTTTACTTCAGTTTAATAATATTTTATTCGTGATCTAACTAATTCCATTGGTTAAAAAAGATCCCAATACATTTCCTACGTAACAGTACTGCGATCGACAAAATCTGTAAAAAAGTGGATCACAGAGAGATGATATTTCTCTGGCTCCTGATTGGTCAATTAATGCTAATATCATGTTTTCGTCTACCTCCGCACGGTTAAGATTAATTTACCGCCAAAAATCTCTCTGTGTTTCGAGCCTATCACGTGACATGCATTAAAACTACATTTTTAATATCAACCTCAACTTATTATTATTCAAATGAAGATTACATTTTCTCTCAATCAACAAGTTTTTTTGAACTCATTTTACACCGAATTTCAGTCCATAACATCTTCTTATCGAAGAACATTTTTCCATTGAAATTTACTATTATTTCTTAAACTGAAATCTTTTCCGTGAGTTCAGATAAAAAATATTTTCTCTTAAAAGGCTTTAAGAATTTCCAGTTAAAGGTAAATAACTCCTGCTGCTATATTATTAATTACAGTGGCCAACATAAAATTTATTGTATAAATATTTTTAGCTGATTTAGGACAATTTTGATGTGCTGAATCCAAAAATCACATTAGTTTTGCTCAATGAGCTATGGTTACATGCTGTTCTTTCCGTTTTTGTTTTTGTTGTCATGCCCATTAAAATATCTAAATATGAAACTTATTTCGCACAATAAAACTAATTATGTTAAACTTTTTAACCCATCAGAAGTATTTTCAGCCAAATATAGCTTCATAATTATTAAA